ACGTTGTAACTTATGTATGTACAGTCCACATCATCCATCGTCCCTCCTCTCCGATGTAGTCAGAGCAACAGCCTTACAACCGCTGCCATCATATTTTGCACTTTTCTCTGTGTCATGTACGACCACTCCGTCTTTCAGTTGCGCCTCTAACCTAGCGGCCAGGATGTTTGACAGCAAATCGTTGCAAGGGCAGGAGTGCTTCAGGCGAGAAGCAGGAGCAGGAGCAGGAGCAGGAGCAGGAGCAGGAGCAGGAGCAGAGGTTGAAAGCGAGGTCGATCGATGGGGAGGGGGCCTGGAGGTCCAGGGAGAGACTTGGAGGTTCCTGATGGTAGTGCGGGGGGCAGCAGGAGGTAGCTGCTGCGTCGCCATGGAGGGAAGGGTCACCCTTATGGTGTTTGTATTAGTTACCACATGTATTGTAGATGACCATTCAAACAGACCCGAGGGCCGTGACTGCAATTTCCTACCATGTGACCTGCGCTTCCCATCCCGCCTTCCCTGGCCTTCGATCCTTCTCCCCATCTGACACCCGGTGCTCCTCTGACTTCTCCTCCTCCGATGCTCCTCTGACTTCTCCTCCTCCGACTGCTCCTGGCATCTCTCCCTTGGCCTTGGACCTGCGTCATTGCCGCCAGGGCGAGGATGGGGAGCAGGGGGCTGATCAAGACAGAGGGTAACGTGATGAACTAGGACGGACGAGAGAGTAAGAGCATGGGCACGCGTCAGGTGTGACTTGAAGAATAGGTACGGCAAGTAAAGTCTGTGACCCACTTTCACAGCTTTGAGGTCATTCAAAAGATGTAGATCTGATGTCTTTTGTTTATTCGCTCGGTACGTCACCACGTCCTTCGACAGGCCCATCTCACCCCTCCTGTGCCCCCCCCCCCCAAACCTTCCCCCGCCCCCACTCCCCCTCGGAACACACTACAACATCCTCCCACTTGTCCCCCTGCTTATGCTCGCTGCCTTGACCAGCCCCTTGCTCTCTGTCCTCGCCCTCGCGGCCAAGACGTTTGACAGGAGGTCGGTGCAGGAGGAGGAGGGCTTGAGAGGAGGAGGAGAAAGAGGGGAGTCGGGCAGGGGCGAGAGAGAGGTTGTAGATAAGGAGGGCTTAGAGGAGGTCCAGGGAGAGACGTGGAGGATCTTGATGGTAGCGCGAGGAGGGTATGGGAGAGGAGTCGCCATAGCGGTTGACAGCCTGTGAGAAGGACGAGGCGGAGGAGAAAGTGGAGTAGGAGTAGGAGTAGGAGGAGGAGGGAGGAGGAGGAGGAGTAGGAGAAGGAGGAGGAGGGAGGAGGAGGAGGAGTAGGAGTAGGAGGAGGAGGAGGAGGAGGA